GGAGCCCAGGGTCATCATACACTCGTCTCCAGGAGTTATATTTTGAATTCATTAAAAATTAATTCGAACAATTTACTTGTGGATTTTTAGGGTCGCTGAACATGAATATGCAGTCGGCGACGGTTTCCGAACAACCTGGTTCCCAAGGCGACCGTCCTACATGTCGTCTGCAGGAGTTACGTTTTAAATTCATTAAAAATCAGTTGAAATTAATTACTCGAAAGTTTTGAGGATTTCTGAACACGAATATGTAGTCGGCGACTCAAACCCCCTGAGTAACAAAATCGGACTTATGTCTATCGTTATTGACCCAGTTTCAACAACTTTGCAATTCACTTATTTGACTGCATTTTTCTTGAAGATTTTCTCGACTAACAAGCATAGAACTGTCGTTAAGCAGATAGAATGTGCAGGCTACACGAAAAGAAGTTTGAAGAGGTTATTCGTTGAACAGTAATATAAATAAGAAGACGAGACCAAATGGACTATGCAAGTAGCGGCTACAGGAACCATTAGACTAATCAAGGGTGCATGCTCTCAAGAAAATTAATCAGGGACGACGGGACGAGAAAAACGTCCGTCCCGGAACAGGAAACCCCTGGTTTAGTTACACTGACAAAGACTATGAAAGCCCGAGGTAACAGTCTTTTTCTCATGGGACGTATAAATGAGGAACAGTATTTGTTTCTGCTGGGTACTGTGGCAAGTAGAACAATTATAAAACCAAGAAAATCGATAACGCTTAATAAGCTTTTGCCAACCCAATGGAAACTACATACGTATTACCATTGGAGAGCCCGTAGTTGTTCATGGTGAAAGTTCATGTCAATATAAAATTAGGCAAAATTGACCATCGTGCGCAAAACACTATTACTTCGCAAATTAAAAGCGGAGACAACTATGTGATGGAATTACTTGAACAATAGCGGGATGTGTTTGAATTAAAGAACGGTAAGACGGGGCGAACCAATGTCGTTGATCAACACGAGTAGAGCGCAGCCTATACGGCAGAGACCGAGGAGACTGCTACTGGCCAAGAAAGAAAGGGTTAAGAAAATCATAAAGGATATGCAAGAGGACGAGGTAACAGAACTACCGCTCTGTCCTTAAACGTCGCCAGTAGGTTTGATTAAGAAGAAGGATAGATAACTACCCCTTACCTCCAGTCGATGATGGGCACACTCGTTGGGTTGACGGTATTTTCAACAGTGGATCTCAAAAATGGCTACTAACAACTAAATTTGGATTCTGAAGCCAAAGAGAAGACGGTATTCTACATTACAACAGGACTGTCGCAATTTAAAGTAATACCCCAGCCACATTCGAGCGACTCACTTCAGTGACTTAATCGGGAAGACTTGCCTACTACATACCGACGACATTGTTGTGATTAAAAATTACAAGCAATCATCTAAAGAATTTGGAGGAAATTTTGCGAAGGTTTCGAGATGTCCAAAACGAATATCAGCTATTTCAAGAGTCCGTCAACTATCTGGNCGAACCAATGTCGTTGATCAACACGAGTAGAGCGCAGCCTATACGGCAGAGACCGAGGAGACTGCTACTGGCCAAGAAAGAAAGGGTTAAGAAAATCATAAAGGATATGCAAGAGGACGAGGTAACAGAACTACCGCTCCGTCCTTAGACGTCGCCAGTAGTTTTGATTAAGAAGAAGGATAGATTGACACGTTTGCGTGTGGACTCCTGCCAGCTGAAAAAAATGAGGAAGAATGATAGCTACCTCTTACCTCCAATCGACGATATCTTGGGCACACTCGTTGGGTTGACGTTTCAACAGTGGATCTCACAAATGGCTACTAACAGCTACATTTGGATCCTGAAGCCAAAGAGAAGACGGTATTCTACCACAGGACTTTCGCAATTTAAAGTAATATCCCAGCTACATTCGAGCGACTCATGGAAACAGTCTTCTGTGACTTAATCGGGAAGACTTGCCTACTACACCCTGACGACATTGTTGTGATTGAAAAATACAAGCAATCACCTAAAGAATTTGGAGGAAGTTTCGCGAAGGTTTCGAGATGTCCAAAACGAATATCAGCTATTTCAAGAGTCCGTCAACTATCTGGGGCATATAATTTCGAAGACCGGCGTTTCAATCAATCTGAAGAAGATTAAAGCAGTACAGGAGTGACCAGCACCTACCGACGTACATCAAGTCCGAAGTTTCCTTTAACTTTGAACATACATATTACAGACGGTACGTCCCTAAATTTGACAATATTGTCAAGCCGCCAATACGACTTACCGAAGGATGCAAATCATTCTGTTGGGAACTGAATTGTCAAACAGCATTCCAGAAGGTAAAGTAAGTCCTCGCTTCTACACCTATGTTAAGTTATCCTCTTCCAGCTAGAGGACACAAATGCTAGCAATGTTGGGATAGGCGCAGTTATCTCTCAAACCACAAGAATATCGACCCTTTATCCCGAAAACCATGTCCTGAAAAATGCATGCATTGTATGCGCCTCGAAGAGCAGGAGGAAGTTTGATAGATAACTGTCAGGGATAATCAGTGACAGTCCGACAATATTAAGGCAGAACAAGACTCTGACTCGGTCCTGAAAATGTTCCGAAAATAAAATAAATTAATAACTGACTTGGCAGGAAGTGGCTGCTAAATCAAACGATGCGAAATCGTTACGAGCCCAATGAGATTCTATTGTTGAAGAAGATGTTCTCCTGAAGCAGATGGCAGAAAACCAATATAACTCTGAAAGCAGATATCAACTATTCATACTGCGAAGTTTGGTGAAAGAAGTCCTGCAGTATCTTTATGACGGATTTATGAGAGGAAATTTAGGGGTTAGCAAGACTCTCGAGAGGGTACGTGACGATTTTGGAGGGCCAACTGCAAAAACTACGCTAAAAACAGGTGTAGAAAATCTGCGACTTTTTCAGTCAATAAGGGACCACAAAAACAACAGCGTGCCCTCATCTGCCTGTATAATGCCGGCAACCTATTTGAGAGAATTGCCGTAAATATCGTAGGAACCATTCCTGAGTGATGGAAATAAATACATCGTAGTGATAATGGATTGCTTTACGAAATGGGTAGAAGCGACTGCCTTTCTCCACCAGACAGCCACCACAGTAGCGGAAGAGCTCGTCAAACATCTAATCAGTCGATTTGGTGTACTAATGAAGCTTCATTCTGACTAAAGCCGAAACTTCGAATCCACCATATTCCAGGACATTTGTAAAGTTTTGGGAATTAATAAAATTCGCTACAGCTCTGCTTCATCAATCCGATAAAATGACGGAGTAAATGAACAGGACCATTAACAAATACTTGTTCAAGTTGCTTTCCAGCCATCAAAAAAACTTCCACACCGATCGTCGATCTATGAAATTATTGGATAGACACCAGGAAAGGTACTCTTTGATGGAACTGCGACTACTATGTGACTTGGTGAGGATGTTTCTGGAGAAGATTACCTTAGTCAACTCCAAAATCAAATAACTACTAGAGGATTCCAAGAAGGACACCTGGTTGTATAATCTATAGCACGAGAGGGTCTCCATTAATGAAGCTACAACAGTATTGGAAAGGTCCATACAAAATCGTCAAGCGCATAAATAATGTCATCAATCGAAGTAAACATGTATCGAATGGAAACTAAAAGTCGTTCATTTCAACCGATTGTCTATGTAGGCTGGCGACGATCACGAAGTGCTCGGATAAGAACTATGCAAGCTCGATCTTTGGATCCCAAGTATGAAGAATTTATGACTACAACGAACTTGTTTTCCAAAGCCAGATTTGAAGTCACATCTGAAAAGCCCCAAAACTAATTTGCTATAGCGAAGGAATACTCACGGACTCACTGTGTAACCGATTTGAATATGGGCAGCGAAATAACCACGGTGCTACCGAAATTGAAAGACTAGCTCCAAGATAAAAGAAAGGCACTAAATTTACTGGATGAGAACCGAGTTGTTTACTAGTTTGTTATCAAAGAAAAATCGTCTGGGAACCCACCTGACCACTAATATAATCAAGCTAGCCATGCCAAGAATAGGATGCGCGTTTGGATGGGTTGAATTAGAGAGTGTTACGAAGCATGTTGGAGGTTCTGTTCTGGTACACTGGGGTGGAGAGATTTTTGTATGCACCGGCAATCCACGACAGAAACCCACCGAGTTGAAGACCGTGGATTGTTACTTCCATTTGACGTCCGGACGAATTGCTGGTACCTGCATGATCCTTCGAAAGGAAGGATAGAACATCCGGAAAGGATCATCCTTGAGGAGGCGGCAGCGTTGTGCATAAGCATGCACGTCATAATCAACACTTTGATTCCCGATAACTCTTGAGTAGCCCGCAGGCAGGATTGATCCAAGTGAATGACACATATTTGCCACTTAACAATAGGAATTCCAGAATTGTAAAGAAGAATAAACTCTTCCAGAGAATTCGATAAAAATCTATATATGCCACTGGATGACAGCCGGAGTTAGTCAGTATATGGAGATAAAAATACTGACATACGATATTTGGTATACCTATATGGTATAGTGATGTATGATATGAATTTATTATAAAATTTACTTTGTGATGGTACAATCATTGTTAAATATCCTTTGGAAAATTTGTGTTTCAACCATACAAAACCTAGTCAACAGTGTTCTTACCCAATGCAACAAATAAAGATTACAGTCGAGTTGGGCTTGACCGTCTGGACTTTTTTTTGTTATTCTAACCAACAGCATCGTCAATAAGCCAGTGCAGCCAGCGCAGCGGTCAGTGTCTTTTTTCATCCAAGTAGGGAGTATATTATAGCACAGAGTCAGAGCACAGCGGTCATAGCTCTCATCCAACAACAAACTGCTCGCTACTCACTAGCTGCTAGCTCGTTTGTGAGGCGCCTGTTCATGGGGGAACGTAACAGGCGAAAATTGTACATGGGCGTCCGCCGTCAGCTCAATAGTCCCTGCCGCTTGCCCACCGACGTCGTCGTCAGACGCCAATAGCTCTGTTCTGACGACGGCCGGACCAGTTTTCTCGAGGTGCGCCAACTCCATGCGTTGGTTTCTCTGCTCGTCGAGCGTTCGTTCGTCACAAGCGCCCGGAAGGCCACTGCAGCGGATACATAAACATATAATATATTAATTTGACGATTTGTATTATTATTACTATTGTGATGGTCAGACTGTTACAATCGGTAATTGTTTCAGTAATTGCGGTGGATCAGCGTCTATTCATCTATCGGTTAATTTCTTTTATGTAGATGGTGTGCAGTGAACGGGGTGCGCGACGCGACTTTTTCCCAGGTGATTTTATTTCGCGATTTCAGATTTTTTGTAGCGATTTTAGTGGTTTGTGAATTTAACCTTGAAGTGAATGCAAACGTTTGTAATTTTAAATTTGAGTAGATGTATTGTGTTGAAACTACCTACCTGTCGGTCAGCTTATTATTATACTTTTGTAAGCCGAAAACCTGTTGGAGTACTTGGTTGCCCAGTGCGAGATTTTATACCTGTAAGTTTTACCTTATCCATCGAATTAACAATTACATACCTCTGCATGTTTATGTGTAAAAAATTGTTTGCAGTGTATCAAATATCGAAAATAAAGTACTAGGTGTAACTGTGAAACTGAATTCAATGATTTTCAATTTTATAAATAGTTATGTATAAGTTTGTAAACAGTTGTGATTTATTACACATTTCACAAATATAAATATAAATATTACTTAGTAAGTAAATGAACTTTAATTATTTCAGTCGCAAAACACTTTTAATTACAGTTGACTAATTAGCGCGGTTTTGTTTTTTCATATCAGTCACCTTTATCAACAACTTTAGAATAAATAGCGGAAATTTTGAAATTTAAAATTATGTAATCAAATTAAGGCTAATCTTCTGATTCGGACTCACTGGGGTAGTTATCTATTATAACTGTTGGCTTATGTTCGCTTAGGGGCTTTTCGTACTATCTTGTAGATGAGGCACCAAATATATTTTGTCGCAAAAATGGGTCAAAGGTCATCTGTTTTTCCGCGTACTGGGAGTGGTACCTATCGAAAGAGTTATACCTCAGCTTTCCAAAAAGTTATCACTCGACCGACCGCGAATTCAGTGGTTCGGAATCGGAAGATTAACCTAAATTAATTCTGTTTCATTAACACTTAAGTACTTTTTATAAATATCTGCTTTTCTAAAATTAAAATTGATTTTCTTTGGTTTATTGATCAATTTACGTCTCATATTTGTAGTCTTACTTATAAGATATACCAAAATACTTTTGTGAAGGTTTCTGTTAATTACTCTTATTAGAAGTTAATTGCTGTCTCATCAAAACAATTTTAACTTTCCTGTTTATAAGCTCGGACCGACGTTCTCATACATGTATGCAGATACATTATATAGTATATGTATGTATGTAAATACAACATGTGTCTACTAAAATAGCACGTCCTTCTAACTAATTGTATCTGTATAGGTAATAGTTGACGGATGGTTGACGATAATCGTTAGTGTATAGTTCCGTAAGTAAACTTATTTCTACTAGTCTATGACTTCAGCGACATAGCCTCGTGGAGTTCAAAGTATTCAAAACCCCCTATTGATATTAACAAATTGCCCACATCGTAAATACAAACAGGTAACGATAACCCTGTCAAATTATTTATTTTTTTTAAATAAATTAAAAAAATCTGTAATACGCATTTTTATTTCAGTCTTAAGACTGATTAGACACGCACCGCCACTAGGACATACACATATTTAACTATTTGTGAACAATACTGTAATCTAGGTCTACCTCTACTCCTTTATGTTCCTGTTTCTTCTTCTAATATGTCTCTAACTAGGCCTGTATGGCCAACCTATCTCGCCTATTTTTTAGTGACTTCCATACGCCCTTCGTTCTCCTAGTCCTTGTAACCGTTTATAATCATAGAAGTATCTTCTTTTTGTCAAAGGGGACTCAACTCGATATACTTTGATTTTATATCTCTACTGCCCCTGTCATGGTGAACTAACTGACTTCCTATATACCGAAAATCAGTCTCCTATTTTTATATGCACTCTTATCTACTCTTTCTTTCCTTACCTACTATTGTTTTTGTTTTATGTTTATTTATTTTTCATACCATACTGTTTTATCAGAAGGTCGTCAATCAGAAAACTGATCTATCTCTATTCCTCTTAACTCCAGTTTATGCCTTTAATATGTCTCTAACTAGACCTTCATGCCTGAGAAAGTGTCTTACCAACCTATTTCGCCTATTTTTTATTGACTTCCATAGAGTCCTCTGTTATCTTATTCTTTCTAATACCTCTTCATTTCTAACCTTCTCTATCCACGGTATNGAAGGTTGATTTAGAACTGAAGAATATAGAATTTGAATAATTTAGGAAAGTTATGAAGGTGGAGCTAAGGGTTGTAGATAAAAGAAGGGAACCAATAGTAAGAAAATATGATTTGAAAAATGCTGAAGATAGAAAATATAGAATTAAGTTGTTGAACCCAAATCACCGAAGAAACCCCTCATAAAATAGCAATTAGGACGGATAGCAAAGTACAGACGTCATGCGGTTAGTACGCGAAGTTGAAATGTTAATAGGGATTATAGGAAAGTACAGTAATAAAAGTTATTAGAACAGATGGATAGAATACAAAAGCTTTAGAAGATAATGTTGAGAAATATTTACACAGACTACATTATATATACAGGGTGCTCTAATTTATGTTGGTCGCTACAATTTATATTCGTGGAATAAAATACTCAATTAAATCATTATTCCAAACTGTGAAAACTTAACGAACAACATATGTTTTCTAAACAGTTAGTTATCTTTTGATTGACGAAATTGTAATTCTTTTCAACAAATGTACTTTGATAAATACATGATCTCCTGTATCTTTTAAAATATCATCATCATCATCATAGGGTCGTCAGTCCTAAGACTGGCTGGACACGTACCTCCGTATGTTGCACGTGAGACAGTTAAAAAGAGTAAACAGAGGTGTTGTGAAAAGCCCTTTCCGAATATAAAGTTAAATTATTAATTAATTAATTAATTCAGTTTTTTAAATAGATACTTTTTAATTACATAATGTAACAATGAACGTAACCTAACCTAATCATAATTTAACTTTAAAATCATCATCATAAAGTTGTTAGTCCTAAGACTGGTTGGACACGCACCTCCACTCTTTCCTATCCTGAGCTAATCTTCGCATTTCCTAGAACATCCCACTTCCTTAACTATTTGCGAACAGTAATCTAATCCTGGTCTATCTCTGCTCTTCTTAACTCCTGTTTCTGCTTCTAATATGTCTCTGACTAGACCATCATGCCTGAGAAGGTGTCCTACCAACCTATCTCCCCAATTTTTTATTGACTTCCATAGAGTCCACTGTTCTCCTACTCTTTCTCATATCTCTTCATTTCTAATTTTCTACATCCAGGGTATCTTTATCATTTGCCTGTAACACTATATTTCGATTGCTTCTCTTCCGCCGCGCCCACCGTTCATGTTTCGCACCCTTACAGCGCCGCGCTCCAAATATACAAGTTTAACAATCTTTTTCGAATTTCTAAACTCGTTCGCGAGCATAGAAGTGACTTCTTTTTATTGAAAGCGATTCGGCCCTACGCTATCCTCTGCTTTATATTCCTACTACTCCTTCCGTTCTGACTTATCTGACTTCCTAGATGCCTAAAATCTGCCACTTCTACTATTGTTTCGTCTTCTATCTTTATAGGCGCTCTTTCTCTACTTTTCTGTACCGTTTGAGAGGTAGGTTATTGTTTAGATTTCCTAGAAAAAATATTTGGTCTGCTCCTTTTTGAAAAATATACATTTGCAAGGGCTATGATTATACCTACTAACTTTCTCTTTGGGGCACTATGGGTTATATGCAGGCAGATCGAAACTTGAAAAAAAGTGGCAATAAAAAAAAGGTTCAAGGAGGAGGCAGGCAGTTTTTCGAAAATAATTTCAGAAAGGGAAGTACATTTGCTTCTTTCAAGACGAGTAGGCGCTCTCGTATCGGGTTTGTAATTCAAGGAGTATAATTTTGGGAAATCTACACATAAACAGGGTTATGTGTAGGTTAAGGTTTATATATTAATTTTTTGTAAATAGTGTGTTTTTGAAAATATAAAGCTTTAACGCAACAAGGGTCTTTAATTTGACAATACTAGTCCATTGGTTCATCCTGAGCTAACGAGATGATGTGTAGCGAATTACGCACAGTTATAATTAGTTTATGTTGCCCTGATTTGACAATTAATGAATATTTTAAGTTTTTCTTCTCTAAGTATATAATTAAATTAAAAAAGAGCTTTGCACATTACAACAAATACAGCATAAAAGTTTGACTAGTAAAAGCTTGTAAAATAAAACAAACCAAAAATCGTGATAAAAAGTAAAATAAACTGCTAAAATTGCAAGCTTTGCACAGTAACTAGATTTGAAAATAACAATAGATTAATGATAAATATTTTTTATAAAACGTCCCAATATATATTCCGATTTAATAATTTCAAAGTAGTAACGTTTGTGGACGATACAGTCGTTGTCGCAGTCCATGATCCTAATGAAGCTTCCACCATACTCCAAAATCACCTGAACAAGGTCCAAACATGACTGACCAAGTGGAAAATTAAAGTTAATACAGCTAAATCAGTGCAAGTAACATTCACCTTAAACAACATGTTCTGCCCCGCGACTACATTAAATAATCATCAACTAACTGTAGCTGACGATGTTAAATACCACATCGGGATGCACTTAGACAGCAATATGAGATGGAAGAAGCTTGTGTCAACCAAAAGGAAGGAGCTAGATATCAGGTTAAAAAAACTCAACTGGCAGACTGGCAGAAGATGTTAGGTGTCTCCAAGTATCAAAGTCTTTACATACAAGGGCCTATGGAATACAACTCTGGGGGTAGTAGAACATTGAGAATCTTAGCGAATGCACCTTGGTATGTGGTCAACAACATAGCGAACTTAGATATAAAACAAATCATAGAAGAAATAAAATCACTCAGTACCAGTAGATATATACCTCGTCTACAAAACCATGAAAATCAGGTAGTTCTAGACATGCTNTCCTCTGGGGTAAAGCACCCGAACATAAACTAGTCCCCCATTCCAATGTTCGGACAAGGACTACCTCGGGGGATGTCATCAATAAGTGCAATCGGGGTAGGTGCAATATTTCACGAGTCGGAGCGTGAAATGTTAGGACAATGAGGCAAGTAGGGAAATTGAAAAATTTAAAAGTAGAGATGACTAAATTAAAATTAGATAAGGTTATATACGGTTTTGATAGTATGTTACATTAGCAAAAAAGTGTTACCATCATCATAGAAGCGTTCGAAATGTGGTGTTACAGACGAATAATGAGGATACCGTAGATAGAGAAGGAAATGAAGAGGTATTAGAAAGAATAAGAGAACAGAGGACTCTATGGAAGTCAATAAGAAATAGGTGAGATAAGTTAGTAGGACACCTCTTCAGG